TAAACATAGTAACTCCCGAGAACACTAGTTTGATTACGAGTACCTGTGGGATCGATATCTATTATTACTACGCGATAGACTGTGCACTTGCAGTTAGGTTGTATTAGACATAGAAAGTCGCGATCACTTATCAACAAGTGTATTGATAATGTCGCAATAATAAATAATATTGAATCTATATGGACTACTATTTAACAAGAAATTGTTGTGCAATGCATAGAAAATACTAAATTGAAGGGGTTTTCGAGTTTTAATTCCGAAAAGAAAATAAAGTGTTCTGACAATGATACGAAAGTGGACATGTTGTGTATAGAATCCCCTATTTATCTATTGTTGATGTTCGATGCATTACATGAATGATATCGTCACTATAATCCCATGACAAATTAACAAAATCACTATACCCAATCCCTTTGTCTATATCTCACTAATCAATACTCAGAGTTTTCTACCCCTAGTCCACCAGCGCAAGCAAGATTAGGCAATGTAATAGAATGTTAATTTCTAAGCCACTACTCATATTTTTCTATCCCTAGTCCACCAGCGTAAGCACAACATTTCCCTAGGTCAAACACATAAACTAATGGCCAGTATTCCATATGTGCCCAAAATCAGAATAAAAGAGTATCTCACATAAAAAGCATTAAGAACAAGGTGCAATTAATTAGAGTTATAGATCAAATTACTCATGCAATATCAAATCAAACATATGTCCCAACAATATTAAAATGGGTTCATCAAACACAACCTAACATAGAGAGAATTAACTACTCATAGTGCAAATTTCAATACCAAAATCAAATAAGAAGGTTGTATAACCTTAAAGAATTGGCCTCCATTGACTTCAAATACTCTCCAAATATGCCCTTTGGTGCCGTAAACCCTTCCTTCATGTGTAAAATTTCAGAACCCTTTAAAAAGTACCAAACTTTCCCTTTCAAAGCAGTCAAAACACGTCAGGAAAGCCTAAAAAACAACATAATGACGCGCGTGATTTTTCCATAGCACATATGATTTTTTAACACGCTGCATTGAACACGCGATATTTAACACCCCAAATTTAATTGGAATATTTTATTTAATTGTTTAAATAAGAATATTCATTTTTCGGTGATTTTCGGTAGTTTGTGGACTATTGGAAAAGTGTGCATTTTTGGGTTATTTATTTGATTAATAGTATATAATATTAATTTATTAGTATTATTATTATTTAAAATGAATATAAGTGAAATAAGGGTAATTTGGACATTTGGAGGAGTTAGTAAGGGTAATAAGGGAAAAGCCCAAATTGTGAGGCCCAAGACTAGGTTTGACAAAATAGAATTCTGAAGGGAATTAGGATTCATTTGTTAACCGTGAAAAGTAATATGGCCAGAGAGCTCTGAGGAGAAGATTGGAGGCAGAAGATTCCCGAAGATAATCGTGAAGGCTTTGAATCGACTAAGGTATGGGGAGTATAGATTTTCATGATTTTCTATGTGTAGATTTCGATGTAGTAAGGTTGATTTAAGGGTTTTATGGAGAATTATGAGAAAAAAGTATTTTGGCCTTCGTGGCCTAAATCTAGTTGTGGGAACTCTGATGTTGTGGTGTAGTGGTAAGTATTCTTGACAGTTAGAGCATAGATATGAGAAAGGGAAGCCTTAGGCCCTCGTGGCCACAACCTTGAATTGTTATATGTCTGACCCTGAAGGAATAAGAATATTTGAATGTGAGTAACTCTAATGCCTTAGGGTGTAATTGAAGGAAACATTGTGATTTAGGGCTGAATATGTTCCGGGATTGCCCTATTAAACCGTAGGTTTTGTGTCTTTATCGTCGTAAGACCTTAGGGGCATTGGGTATGTGAATCGTAGAGTTTTTTGAGTGATTTTAAGTTCTGGTGCGTAGCAGAATTTGCTGTCATCGCATTGTTCGCCTAGCGAAGAAAGCCTCGCCTAGCGAAGAAAGCCTCGCCTAGTGAAGAAACTCGCCTAGCAAACATGCCAGCCAATGTAGCAGAGTTTTGTGTATGTTGATCGTGTGCAGCGAGGCCTTGATGTTTGGTTCTGTGATTTTTGTGATGAATTACCTTGGGGGTAACTATGATTTTTATGTGATTAACATGTGATGTGTATATGATTACATGATGGTTTATATGATGTATTATGATGATATTACCATGACCTTGATGAATTATATGATGACATGAGATATGATGATGATTGTGATGATGATGAATATGATGAATGATGATGCACCTATGCTGTTATTATGAGGATGATTTGTGACGTGTGCATCATGCATTCATGTGCATCCGGCCTTCGGTTCAGGATCTCGATTACTTTGGCTTCAATCTCATTGTGTGGATGTGAAGTGTTTTGATGTGCTCCGGTTCTCTAGTAGAATCGATCCTATTGATGGGGATCTATGGAAGGTTGATGACCTAGTGTCCATCGAGCTGTGATGATTGGTACCACATGCATTGAGTTGTGTCGCATCTGCATTTATGAGTCTTTTTGTATAAATTATGATGTTGTGGCATTCGAGGTCTATTGATGAATATGAAGGTTGAATATGATTATGATGCCATTTATATGTTGATTTTTATACATTGGTTATTATGAATTGTTTTACTCACCCTGCCTGTTTGAATGTTACCTCCACGTGGGTAACGTGCAGATGACCAAGTTTAGCCGTGGACGCCGTCGGGGAGTATTTTTGAAGTTTTGAGTTTTTAGCCTTTTGGTTAGCTTAGAGGGTCTTGCTCTGATATGTAACATCGGGTTGGGTTCTTTTGAGTTAAATTATATACTGTTGAGTTATTTTGCTTATTTTTCCCTGATGAGGAAACCTTGATTTATGCCTTTGAGTTCCGCTGCTTTGTGCGAATTAATTATTTTGAGAAAACCTGTTGTTTACGGAGCCTTCACCGATTTTGTTGATTTGGGAAATGTACGCCCTTTTGATGGCTTTTATGAAATTTAATAATTTTACTATGATATCTGTGTTATTTTGCCATGCTAATTGTGGGGTAGAAAAGAGTGTTACACGATACTTTCCATCGCACGCGCTACATTCTGCCACTCGCGTGATTAATCCAAAAGCTAGATATTTCTTTTAGCTGTATTTTGTAAAAAAAATCTTCGTCGCAAAACGAGTTATAGAACTCCATATATGATTTTTTTTCATAATTTCTTGTTTCTTCTTGATTTCTTGGCTTTGCTCTATTTATTCGACTTCTTCATTTTCTTCATACTTAGCTCATCTTTAACTTGAAATTTCATCGAATTCATCGCAAATATTCATAAAAATTATGTAATGCCAAAATGTCATCATAACCCCAAACTTGAATAGTTGCTTGTCCTCAAGTAACTTACCTGCGACTGCACATTTCAAATAGAAAAATGAATTGAGATAATAATGAATGAAAATCACCATTTGTGTTACTTGATCATCATTCTAGTTCCCAACTTCAATCGAGAAAATTTGGAAAACTTCTTCCAACACAACAAGCACTCAACACGTCTCTCAGCTTACTAATTTTTCACTCGAATTAAGAGGGTAATCACACAATTATCGTACAAAAGTATTTTACCATAAGTTTGTAAAATTTCTAATAAAATCAATCAAATTCATCTAAATAAACACTTTTGGAGGTCTTTCAAGGTTCTAATGAAGCTTATGTCAGGGTAGGATAATTTGGGATAATAAGCTTAAACCTTTGGAGTTAGGTACATAATTTTCCTTATGTTATCATATTCCTTTTCATATCCACTCTTGCTTAATTAATTTGTACTAGAGATTAACATTTTATGGTCCTTATCATTCTTTTTCTCCTTTTCTTTTGAAGAAGTTATTTTTAAATTCTTATTTTCTAAAAAAAATTGAAATTTTAACCGTTTTTCTCTAGTACCCCAACCCAAACTTAAACTTTGCTCACTTCTAAGAGCAACCCCAAACTTATTCTTCTTCATATAACAAAGGAATTAAATCTTCTATCTAACTCCAAAGAAAGGGTGAAAATATTTAATCTTTCAAGTCAATTGGCTAATAGATGTGGCCATGTCACTGAAACAAAGGACTTAGGCTCAAAGTGGTTAATAAAGAATATAAACATAATATAAGGGTTAGTTTGAAAAGGCTATGAGGTTACCACAAACAAGTGCCTCAGTGTGTATTCATCAAACCAATAGATTAAATAAAAAATTATGCAAATTCTAGAAAATAACAATTGTACGAATACTCTCATAAGAAGAAAAAGTAAACAATGGAATATTTGGCTCAAACCTTACTAGTTGAGGTATTTGGAGATTGAGTACAAGATAATTGGTTGTTCCTTTCTTCCTCAACTTTCAATCCGTAAGGAACTTTTTGGATGATCACCTTTGTTTTTTATGATACTTATGGTTCATTTGTTCATTGCTAAAATTGTAATTTCATAAATCTAAAAGAAACAACACCAATAAACTTGTTTATTAACAACAAACATAAATTTATAGGTACAAAGGGGAAGCAAGTATTATAGCTAATACTCTAAATTGACTTGAGAGATTGACTTATTGAACGTAAAAGGGAATTACAAAATTTAATACAAATTTAGAAAACTCAAAATTAACATGTCATTGAAGCCGAAAAATTCTTGCACGTCTTGCATGGTGTTGTTGAAGTCTTGGTTCTATTTGGTCCAATTTGCCCTCGTTTGATTGATGTTGATGCTCAAGAGGAGCAGCTTCGCTTTGGACCCATTCCTTGAAACAAAAACAACAACACTAGAAAGTTTAATGAGATTAGGAAAAAAAAAAGGAATAGAGAGAGTTTTTAGTCTATCTTTCTTCTTTAAACCCCTTTCTCAAGTTTTTTTTCCTATTGCTCCTAAATGTAACATGCTACAAAACAAAAACAGTTAATTGAAATAAACTGATATTCAAATTTTGCAAATAAAATAAAAAGTTATCTGATGAGTTGCCTCCCATTAAGCATTTCTTTAGGGTCATAAGCCTGGCCTTTCAATTTTTGTGTTAGGGCGGCATATATGACACAACAAATACATCATCCTTCTTCTTCCTTTTGTTTGGTAGGAATTCCATTAATTTCATGAATTGGAGGTTTTTCTTCCATATTCTTTTTAGCTTGATAGTATCAAACAAGGCATAAATCTCATCCAATACTTCAACTATTTCTCCTCTTTTATCATCCTTGTTACTAGGTGTGAGGTTATTCTTTTGTTGAAGATCTTGTAATTGGACATCTACATCTAAATGAATTGTTGCATTTGGAGCTTCATCAAAAACTATATAATCTTCATATTGCATTCTTATTCTTTTCCCACATATAATTTTCACCTCCACTTCTTATATTCTTGATTCTATTTCTTTATCAGATGGTGTGCATTTTTCTTTTTCTTTCTTTTTTTTCAATTCTTCCTTTATCGACTACCTCACATTCCCGTATTAATTCTCCTTCAATTTCCTTATCTCTGGGATTATCTAAATTTTTCTCATCGAACTTCCCACTAGAGCTCAATTTTAATGTTAATTGGCTAGATACTAAACCAAGTTACATAGCTAAGTTCTCGAAGGATGCTTTCATGTCCCTTTGCAAGGTTTCTTTTTATCTATTGATTTTCTAGAAATTGATTTGAGTAATCTTTATGAATTGAGTGAAAGTTTCTTCAACTTCTCCTTCATTGAATACCTCACATTTTTGTTTGATTTCTCTTTCAATTTTTGCATCTCTAGGGCTATCTAATATATTTTCATAGAAATCCCCACTAGATCTTATCTTTAATGCTAATTGGCTAGATATTTACCAAGTTGCGTCTCTAACTTCTCGAAGGATGTTTCCATGTTACTCAACACGGTCTCTTGATGCGTGTTGAGTTTCTCAAAATTAAGTTGAGTCATCTTTATAAATTGAGTCAAAGTTTCTTCAAGTTGAGATGATGAATCCTCTTGCCATGAATGATCAATGTTGATATAAGGTTCTGACTCTGAATAATTTCTAGCATTTTCAAAATGAGCATTTTTGCTGCAAGCTCCTTTGATAAGCTTCAAACTCTACCAAGTTAGCATAGAGGTCATCTTGCATAACTGTATTGACCTCTCATACATAACAAAAAGAAGAATACCTTAGTAGTACTACACTAGATGAATTCTCGACAAGTGTATCGATAATACCGTAGTAATAAAAAAGACCGAATCCAAATGGACTGCTATTTAACAAGACAATATTGTGTAATGCATAGAAAATACTAAAAAGGGGGTTCGAGTTTTAATTGCGAAAAAAATAAAATGTTCTGACAATAGTACAAAAGCGGTCAGGTTATGTATATAATCCCTTATTTATTTATTGTTGATGTTTGATACATTACATGAATGATATTGTCACTATAATCCCACAACGAATTAACAAAACTGTTATACCCAATCCCTTGGTGTATAGTTCAATAGTTAATACACAAAGTTTTCTATCCCTAGTCCACCAACGTAAGCAAGATTAGGTAATACAATAGAGTGTTAATTCCTAAGGCACTACTTAGAGTTTTATATCCCTAGTCCACCAGCATAAGCACAACAATTGCCCTAGGTCCAACATATAGACTAATGGTCAGTATTGCTTAGGTGCCCCAAATCATATAAAAAAAGTATCTCACATGAAAATCATTAAGAACAGGTGCAATTGAATAACATTATAGATCAAATTACTCATGCAATATCAAATTAAGCATATGTCCCAAAAATATCAAAATAGGTTCATCAAACACAACCTAACCTAGAAAAAATTAGTTACTAATAATGCAAATTACAATACCAAAATCAAATAAGAAGGTTGCATAAGAAATCCCTTGAATAATTATCCTTCAATGGCTTCAAATAGTCTTCAAATATGTCCTTTGCCGCTAAAAAAACCCTTTTTTCATGTGTAAAAATTCAAAACCCTTTATAAAGTACCAAACTTCTCCTTTTAAAGCAATCAAAAGACGTCTGAAAAGCCCAAAAAACAACTTCATCGCATGCGTGATTTATCCATCACGCACATGATTTTTGAACATGCTGCATCATGTGTGAGATACTTTGCATCATGTGCATGGTTATTTTAAAAGCTAGATATTCCTTTTAGCTTAATTTTGCAAAAAACCTTGTCTCAAAATGAGTTACGAAACTCTAGATATGATCAATTTACTGGACAGACATCAAGATGTGAATTATGCTAAAAATATTCGTTTCTTCATAATTTCTTCCCAGTTTCTTGGCTTTGCTCTGTTTCTTCAACTTCTTCATTTTCTTCATACTCCTTTATATTTAGCTCATCTCGAACTTGAAATTTCTTCGAATTCATCGCAAATCTTCATAAAAATCATATAATGACAAACTGTCATTAGAGTTTGATTTTAACAAGGGAGCTCACCTTCAGATATATTGGTTTCCGGAGAGGTACCACGAGCTTGTGGAGGCACGAATGTGTGGGATTACCACTAGGGCGTACATGTTACATCTAGTAGCATATACTCTCTTTGCAAATAAGTATCATATTTACATTAACACTCAATACATGCGGTTGTTCAATAGCCTTGGTGATACCAGTTTAGGGTTTAGGGTGTGCTGCATTGACCAACCTATATGCAACCCTTGGAGTTGTAACTTCCTTTCAGACCAAACAACTTGCTGGTTATTTGAGTTTATTCTAAATATACTTGAAATTATTATTTTTAGTTTAATTCTTATTTAACTATTACAAATAACATTTCTTAATTATTATTTGTTGTGTTTGTGTTCTTTTAAAAGTGATAGATATACGAGTATTTCCCCACCATCTATGACAGGAGGGTGCAGCATACCCCTGTGGGTGCCCCACAGGCGAGGAGATGGAAGGCCAAACAAGCACATCCAGGTGTTGTTGCAAAGTACAGGAGGGGGCTTGATGCGTTGACTGTAGATGACGTCATATGGACACTTTACACAGGTCACATAGTCCACTGCGAGTTTGATGAGTCTTCTTTATTTTTTGGCTATATGTGGGGGAGCCCTTAGTCCCTAGATACTTACCCGAGAGGTGTCAGTGACAATATTGTTATGTCCAAGGAATTCCATGACCAATTTTGGATATTCCAGCTGTGGCCATTGATAGGTAGCGCAGTGAAGGTTCAACATGACTTTTTGTGTGAGGATGGTTACCTGGAGTGGTACCTTACTATATTACACCCTTGAATCATCCCACATATTGAGCATACAGATGGTGTTGGGCCTTGAAGGTGAGAAAAACATAAGAGTGAGAGGTTAAATTGTGTTAGCTTTTCTCAAACTTTTTCAATTTCTGCTTCTGATTGAACTTAATCAGAGTTTGAACCTTCAGTTCAGAGTCACTTTAGAGTCTGAAGTCGTGTACTTGTTTATCATATTTTGAAACACAATCTGACTCAGAAGTAAACAAATGATAACAGTGGAATAATATTTAGAAGCATGTAAAGTAAAAGCATAAGACACAAATAGTTATTCTGATTCCTCTCACAACCTAAGAGTAGTCCAGTCCCCTTGCTCTTCAAGGGATTTCCACTATAATTAAAACTGATTACAAATGCTCAAGCCTACCAACAAGAGACTTTCTTTGCTTACACACACACACACACACACACACACACACACACACACACACACACACACACACACACACACACACACATACACACATACACACACACACACACACACACACACACACACACACACACAAGATTAAGACTTCCTTGCTTAAACATACAAGTTTGAGACTTCCTTCCTCAAGCACACACACTCCAGACTTCCTTACTCTAACACACAAGCTAAAAACTTCCTTGCTCAAGCACACAAGTCCTAGACTTCCTTGCTTAAGCACACAACCTTTAGACTTCAAATGCTCAAGCACTAAAGCAAAAGACTTATAACTCTAAACAAACTGTTAAGAGTTTTGGGTAACTACTACACTTAAAATACAATCAGAGGTGTAGATACAATACAAGTTAGAAAACTCTAAGACTTAATAATTTCTAGAATATATAAGAGTTAAAATGTTCTAAGTCTAACAACATTGACATAGAAGCTTCTCTTTGATTGTCAGAGTTTGTAGCAGAGTTATATAAGAACTTGGTTGTATTCTTCTTTAGGTCTGCATTTCCTTTTATAGAAAGGAGAAAAAGAGACGTTGAAGACTTTCACTAAATAGGTTGGGCTAACTTTGTACTTGATTAGACACATCAACAAAGCACCTTTCTATAAAAGGAATTATTTGTTGAAGCTCATGCATCAAGGAAGAGATTTTCCTTAAGTCTTCACGTGATCAAAAAGTCTCAGAGTCTGTCAGAGCTGCCTTGGTAAAAGAGCTTATGCTTTAGAGGCCAACTTTCCTTCAAACTTCACTCTTTAGAGGTTGATCACATTAGATTCCTCATCTTTTGCTTTTGAAGTTTCATAGTCTAGATCACCAGAGGCTGAATTTCTTCAGAGTTGACTTCTTTAGAGTTTGGATCTCCATCAGAGGCAAAGTCTTCAGAAGTGATCTTCAGAGCCAGAGTCTGATATTCAGATTCAGATTCCTCAATCAATTCTTCATATGTCCTTAATGATTATATTCTTGCAAACTTGAATAGATGTTAGTATACCCAATTGCTTTTTAAATACTTTGTTATAATCAAAATCTAAGGGATATGGTATCCACCAATTTTGTTCCAATAAGCCTTCAGATATTGGGGTACTTGTCGATGACGTGTCGCCGCCACCACCTCCACCCGATGCCGATGACCAGCGGCGCCTGCGAAGGATTGTTGTTATTATGGATAACCTCATAGGTTTGGTAAACCCATATTGTGAAGCTTTTACCGGATTATAGGGGCAACACACATAGCCCGTGGGGTACCTATTTAGACATTATTATTATTTTTATGTATTATTTGTACATTATGTGTAATATTACTCAGACATTTGCACTATTTTTTTATTAGATAACGTTTTGGAACTTCATTAATGCATGATGAACATAACTTAACATTTGACAAACAATCACATAACTTAGACAAACATTTACGTAACTTAAGAAAACAACAATAAATAATAAAACTTGTACACTACTAGATGATTCTAGACATTTCAGCATCTTAATTATGTCGTCGAGAAATCTTGAAATCTTCGCATCTAACTCGATCGATCCCTTAGTCAGCATACGGCGAAATGATCGCTACATAACCGTAAAATCTTCATCGATCTTCAACTCAGGTTGCATTTCACCCTTCCATCAATATCAATCTAATCTCCACGAAACTCGATCTTTCTCACCTTTCTATTATCGGTACCAGGCAACAATCATTCAACTTGGATGTCAAGGCGGTGAGAGATGTGGTGTCATCCGTAAGTCAGAACTCTATAGGAGGTGCAATTACGTTGAAGTACACTTCTACCTTAATCAAAAATTGAGGAAGAGACATTTTGAGATGTTTTTCTCAACAACATATGACCGTCATACAACTTTGAGTTCATTCTGAACCATACAAAACGGTCATATAATCACATCCGTCTAAAACTAACAGTAAAATTTTAAGCGTTGAAAATTTTATAAAATTGAACTACCGAAAATTTCTAATATAATATGTCATTTTTTAAAGATACCGATAAAATTTTAAGTATCAAAATTTTTTAAAAATTCTGATATTAATTTCTACCGGAAATTCTAAATATATTATCGAAAGTTTTGATTGAATTGAAATTTTGTCGGCAAATTTAATTCCAATTTCAAAGAGAATCACTTTCAAAATTATGACATAAAGTGAAGGTGTCAGGTATAAAATAACCGGCCCTTAATTGATCCATAAAAGAAGAATACAATCCACGGATCTCATTAAAAGACACTCTCTCAACATGCATATGAAGGAATCTCATGTTTAAGCCATAAGAATAATTCCTCTAGGAATGCAACGACCTTTCAAACATCTTGATAATAAAGAATTTCAACGTGCCATGTCACATTGAGTGCAATGTAATAGTTGTTTTTTTTTATAAGGAAATTTAAAAATCAAAATAAGGAGGCTAAAACTGTATTTAAGAAAAAAAAGTTCAATTTAAGTCATGCATGTAATATTAATAGAGTACAATGAAAAAATATAAATAATATCACATTGAAAATTTTATGATTTTGACATAGTTTCATTGCATTGTATCACATATCTGATATCCATATCAGACACTATTTCCCAAACCAGTTTTTCCAAAACATCTTTCTCCACTTCAATTGCGATGTCTTCTGTATCAACATAGATATTCATCCATGATCCACGTCTCGCCATGTCCTTTTCAACAACCTGGTGTAACGTTATTGGTGATGGATGAGACACAAAGTGTAGGTTAACAAGTTCATTAATTTCTCTAACCAAAATTTTCTTGACAACACATGCTTGGAGGAAGTTTGGATTTCTTGATGAAAGATGAGGTAGAAAACCACTGTTCTGGTATAAGTCCATGAAACATTGGATGATGCAGTCATGCAAGATTTTACTGCCAGAAAGTTGGTCAGTTAATCCATTCAGTTCATCAAAAGTTGATGAATCTGTCAATAGGTTTGATAAATGACTCTTGATCGGTTCATCGCATTTCAAACTGAAAGCCTGCAGAACTTCACTTATGATGTCATTTGATTTGTTCATTCGATCCAAAGAGAGTGTTACAAGGTCTGCAAGATGGTTATTCTCTTCGAATTTATCATGTATAGCTTGTACTAGTGATCCATCTGTGCAAGAAAACATATATATAATTATAATCAATCTCTTTTTCGGATTGTAACAAGATTTGATAAGCCTTTTCGACCATGCTAAAGAATTGATGGATACATAGGGCCTGTTTGGTTTGACTTACTTGAGCTCGTGTGCTGACATAAGCTCATGTGAGACTGTTTGAAAGAACTTATGAAAACAAGTTATGACATATTCATAGCTTATAAACAGTTCAACTTTATTTTATCTGTGTGATATAAATTGCTGCAAACTAAGTTGTTTATCCAAACAGGCCAATAAATAAGACAAATATTTAATGTTTTTGATCATAGAAAGTTGAAAAAATTAGTTATATAGAGGTTACCTCTAGGAATATCATAATGTTCATGCAAATTTTCGCCGGGAAGACTCTTATTGACACTAATATCTGCAGCATCGAAAACCTGCAACTCATCACAAAAAGTTGCCACTGGTGGATCCTTGATTTTCTGAGCTGAAGAATTTCTATACGAACAATTTTCCCCGTCTCTATGAAGTGTTCTTAGAACCATTTGGTGTTTGTCATGAGATGTTACTTTTGCACCTTGGTCCTTCATGATCAAATTGTTGCTGTTACTAGCACAAATCTTATTTGGCGAATTTCTTACAGAAAAATCCAATTCTTTTACATTTTTACCATCTTCCAAGTCCCGTGAACCGCAGAGAAATTTACTCCGCGAGGAATCAGTTGCACTACACTGCTTTTCTTTTCTCCTTACTCTCATGACGTGCCTCAACTTTCTCTTCATATCACCAAATGGAAAATGCGAAGGCTTATTACTTTGAGCATCGCTATTGTCAGCAATTTTTTTCACATTATTCGTGCTAGGCTTCAAAACGACTATTCTTTTAGAGGTCCGAGGCTCGCAATTTGAACTCAATTTAGACCTATCAAAACTGCCACTACTTTGAGCTTTACTCAATCTACTCATTCCATTTTGTTCTGCTTTCACTTGAGATTTCTGTAAGTCGTGAATCTGTTTCACCAAAAGAGAGTTTGGATCTTGCAAAAGCTTAACAAAAAGCTCCTTGTTTGAATATAAAATCTGCACAGCATCTAAGAACTGATTAGGCTGACAGTCTGCAGCATTGCCTCGAGAGTTTTTGTCGAAAAATCTTTGATTAACAATCATTTTTGTTACTTCGTTTTCCAAATCCGCAATTTGTTCATCCTCCACGCATATATTCTTACAACTATAACCTCTTTTTCTTCTGGAACTTACCTGTAGTCAAAATTTTCTATCATTTTTGCTGCATCTTACAACCATACATGCCAATTTAAAACATTTGATCAGAAGATTCAGAACTTACATCAGCAGCATGAGGGTACTTTTCATCGACGGTGCTGAGCACATCTGAGTTAATTCTGGATTTTCCATTTCCTGCCGATTGAAAAAAAAATTACCAAATCCAAATTCTACATCAAAATTTGATTCAATACGTAACAACTTCAAATGAAATTATAGTTACTGGCATCAAAATCTTTATTTGAAATTACATTACATACATTTTAGACTTTTAGACCTAAAAAATTCAGAAAATTTTTCATGCAATGAAATATGAACTCACTCTTACCAGTGGTGTGTTTATTCAAATGGCTACCATTGGAAACCAGTCTTCTATCGGAACTAGCTTCATGAAAGTTAAAGATTCCGAACATTCGCCATGTGCAACCGGTTTCACATTTTTGGTTTACCAGAGGAGGAGATCTTCGCGCCATGATAGAAGAAAAAACTTTTAGTTTTATCAAATTTCAACCACCATGCCACAATTGGAAAATCAGAAAAATCTGCGAAACACAAAAGATGATAAAAAAAGGTTAACTAGTTAATGATTATCAAGTATGAGAAATAATGAATCACGTTCAGGTTCAAATGTCATCCACACAATGATTGAGATATATCAGAATGTAAAGTGCTAATTGACAAATGACAAATAATTTCAAACCCCACATGAAAATTTTCACAGCTGTTGACCTTGAAAAGTTATATAAAAAAATCACACACAACATCGAATTTAATTAAAGAGCTTGATTCTATAATAATGATAATAATTGAGTGATCATGTATGACCTAGTGTCTTGTTGTCACGATACACTGAAATTCGAATAAAAACTTAACCATATTTTTTAAAATTACTGCGTTTACCTTTTATACAAACGCTGATTGATGATGATGTATACTAAGAGCATTATAAAGACATGTAAATTGTAAAATAATAGTAAGTAGTTGAAGAAAGCTTTGAAGTGAAGGCAATGCATGGAGGTTTCTTTGAATATAAGAAACGGTGTCGTTTTGAGGGAACCTTGGATCTTGAGCAGGTACTTAATTTGGTTGATAAGATGTTTTTGTTTCAATTTGCATTAATTCATCCATGTTGAGAGGGTCCTTCACAACTTGGTACGTAACAAAGTTAGGCTCATGAATGATAGCTTCGTAAACAATCAAAATGCACTAGTTGTTGTACTCATTTAATATATGTGGAAGACATTTAACTCCAATGTAAGTAACGTATGAATGACATTTTTTATTGTACACTTCTATTCTCACATGCTTCCTAATAATGTCATCTACGTGACCAATGCTTTTTTTTTCTTCTTTTGAATAATTAGAGATGATTTTTAACTGTCATAAAATGAACACTAACATTTAGTGATGGTTAAAAATCATTATTAAAAATTTTTAATGACCGTAAAAAGCGTCACAAAATAAACACTAATATATTAGTGATAGTTAAAAACCATTGCTAAAATTTTTTAACGATGGTAAAAAGCGTCACAAAATAAACAGTATCATTTAGTGACAATTAAAAATCGTCGCTAATTGTTAAAAATGAAAAAAAAAAAGACATCGCTCACGTGAGAGACCTAAATAAACAGTAACATTTAGTGATAGTTAAAAACTATTGCTAAAAAATTTTAACGACGGTAAAAAGCGTCACAAAATAAACAGTATCATTTAGTGACAATTAAAAACCGTCGCTAATTGTTAAAAATGGAAAAAAAAGAAGAGGGAATCGCTCACGTGAGAGACCTATTGAGGTCTCTCGTCGTATCCTGAGCCCTTTCTAATAGGATAGTATTGTTCTAAAAGTTGGAACCTAATAACAAAATCGAACCGTCATTAAATAATTCAACAATTTTCTACCGTTAATTAATCGAACCATACTTTGTCAAACATTTTAATAATTACTCAAAAGCATTTGGATGAGATGGTAAGGGATCTCTTCTAATAGCATTCTATAATGTCAACAGAGATCTCTAATCAAATAATTTGTGTAATGATGGAGATTATCATGAAAAGTTATTTCAAGCTTCTGTTTGGACTCAAATGAAATATGAACACAATACAAAGGAAAGAAGAGTAATTGTACTATAATTTCTCAAGAGTCAACAGTATAATGTTTATCTTACTGAAAATTGTAAAAGATAAAATGAGCAAGAAAGTACAAGAGAAATATAACAGCTAGAGAAACTGTTAAATTTAAGGGAGAAGAGACTCAAGTTCGTCCACAATTATTCCACTCCAATCATGACCAATCAATACCCTATTTAACAAAGTCCTTGAGGTATTTTCTGTTAGGATTCTTCTATCTCCTACTACGCTTTAGCTCCTGGTATTGTGGATCTTGTGCCACATGTTCCAATTCCTCCTGTAATTCACTGCTAGGAATGTTCCTTTTGTCCTTATTCATAACATTACCTCCTCCATCAAAATTAACCTTGTCCTCAAGGTTAAAAGTAGGGAAGTTGTTAGTAAACTCCTCCTTATTCTCCCACGTGGCTTCAGTGTGGGGAAAACCTGTCCATTTGACCAAGATTTGTGATAGCTCACGCCCTTTTTGCAGTAAGACTCTAGAATCCAGTATTTCTTCTAGTATCATCATAGCACCAGTCTCAGTAGTAAGCAATGGAAGAGGGAAATACTAAGCGTGGCGATCACCTTTGCACAACTTCAAATTGACCATATGAAACACCTAATGGATTTTTGCAGACGGAGGCAGCAACACTTTGTAAGCGACAGCTCCAATCTTCTCAATGATTTGAAAAGGTCCAAAATAGCACATGCCCAGCTTTTGATTCCGATGTATTAGAGTTTGACCTAACACAACCTTACAAAACCGATTGGTAAGGTGAAGGGTGTCGCTCTATATAAACTATTTCAATGCTCTATCTCCAACCAATGTGGGTCCAAGGTCCGATCGATAGGCTCTGATACCATATTAGAGTTTGGCCTAACACAACCTTACAAAACCGGTTGGTAAGGTAAGGGGTGTCGCTCTATATAAACTATTTCAATGCTCTATCTCCAACCAATGTGGGACTTTAGGATCTTCCTAATACGATGTAATGCCACAGAATGTTGCCTACAAGGCTGTAATTTGATTAAAACCATATCATCCGGCTGAAAACTCGACAAATTTGCGCTTAGCATCTGCATGTTTTTTCATCACTTGTTGCGCACGGTGCAAATTATTTTTGAGGAGTTGAAGAGTGTGGTCCCTTTCAATTAACAGTTGTTGCAGTGAAAGAGGAATAGTATATGCAGAGTCGTATTTGACTAAAGAAGGAGGGTCTCTCCCATAGACAATCTTGAAATGAGTCATGCCGATACTGCACTGAAATGAGGAATTATACCAAAATTCCGCCAAATCGAGTAACTTAGCCCATTTCTGCGGTACTTGGCCTATGAAACATCGTAAATATAATTCTAAACACTTGTTAGCCGCCTCCATTTGGCCATCGAATTGAAGGTGATAGGCCGAACTCATGGCCAAAGTAGCCCCACTTAACTTGAATAAATGTTGCCAAAAAGAGCTAGTGAACACTTTGTCTCGATTGGACACCAAACTACGAGGAAAAATGTGTAGTTTAACAACATTGTGGAGGAAAGATTATGCTACTTTCAGACTTGTGAAATCAGCTTTGAGGGGAGCAAAGTGATTGGCTTTGGAAAATCAATCAACCACAACCATGATGACGACGAATCCATTAGAAGGGGGCAATCCGGTAATAAAATCCATCAAAAGATCCTCCCAAACATGAGATGGAAAGGGCAAGGGTTGTAGTAATCATGTTGGGGAAACTGTCGATGATTTCGCTTGTTGGCACACTAAGCATTGAGACACAAATAAGCGAATCTCTTTGCTCATGGTAGGCCAAATAAATTGTGAAGCGATGCACGCTCTGGTTCTAGCAATTCTAGAGTGACCACCCAGCAAAGAAGAATGAAATTCTTCTAAAATCGCTTGAATCAAATGCGGTTTGGGGGGAACCATAACACGGTTTTTCCAAAACAAAATGCCCTGATGCACATGGAAAAAAGGTTCTTGACACAGACCTTACAAACATTGTTGTTTGATATCATACAAATGGGGATCCTCATTGACAGTATTTGTAATAAGTGGTATGAGAGGGTTGCTGGGGCCAGATAAGGCAAAAAACGAACAGGACAATGCATCAGCTGCAATATTCTCCTTGTCGGACTTGTATTCAATGGAAAAATCAAAACCCAAGAATTTATGCAACCACTTCTGCTGCTCAGGTGTTTGTATAATCTGCTCTGTTAATGCCTTTAAATGTTTTTGATCGGTGCGTATAATAAACTTGTTCCCCATAATGTAATGTCAAAAGTTAGTCATTGCCTCAGTGACAACATAAAGTTCTTGAACGTAAGCTGACTTTATTTGCATAGTGGGGTTGAGCTTCTTTGAAAAGTAAGCGATAAGGTGCTTCTCTTGGCTAAGGACTGCCCCTATGCCGGTACCAGATGCGTCAGTTTCAAGAATAAAAGGCTTAGTAAAATCCAGCAAAGTCAAAATACGTGCAACAATGATGGCATTCTTTAGAGCATGGAACGCTTCTGTGGTGTCAAAGGTCCAAATAAACGCATCTTTCTTCAAAAGTCCAGTCAGAGGTGCAACAATCTTCGTATAATGACGCACGAATCTTCTGTAATAATCTGACAGACCTAAAAATCCATGCAACTGTTTACGATTGGTAGGCAAAGGCCAATAAAAAACTGCTTGTATCTTGGATTTATCCATCTGTACACCACGGTTGGAGATAGTGTGACCCAAATAGTCTACCTCTATAAAATCAAAACAACACTTAGACATTTTAGAAAACAGAGAATGAAGGTGCATCAGTTGAAGAACTTCATCCAAATGACTCAAATGAGCCGACCAAGATGGGTTATAAACCAGGATGTCGTAAAAAAACCAAAATGGATTTCTTGAGCTGAGCATGAAAAATATGATTCGTCAAGCTTTTAAATGTCGCTGAAGCGTTGGACATTCCAGACGACATAACAAGTCACTCATATAAGTTGTGATGAGTCCTAAAAGCAGTTTTATAATGATCCTTAGACTTGACCAAAATCTGATAGTACCCGGACCTTAAATCAAGTTTGGAAAAATAGTGTGCCCCATGTAATTTATCCAATAATTCATCTACTGTGGGGATAGGAAAACTATCTTTGACAGTATTAGTGTTTAGAGCTTGATAATCAGTATAAAACCTCTAAGACCCGTCCTTCTTTTTCAGTAATAACATAGGTGAAGAAAAAGGACGGTTGCTTGGTTGGATAATACCTTGTTTGAGCATATCATTGACCATAGATTCAATTTGAGTTTTCTGACTACGAGGGTATCGATATGGCCTAACCTTGACATGGTTGTTTCCTTCCAATAAAGGAATTGAATGATCATGATGTTAGACGATGGCGCAGATCTAGAAGGGGGTTGAATAGATCGCTTATTTAAAACAGAGTCGACGCTAAGAAAAATTCGTTTTTAAAAATTGTTTAAGGCGGAAGTGGCCGATGAACTATACTCATTTAAAGCGAACTGTTACCAGAAAACTGGATAGGTCGTAAAGCCTATGGAATTCGATAAACGAGAATTGAGAATCACTACTTTAATCACACTTCAATCAGATTTTGTTCACTATAAGGTGTGACTAGTTTCAATGTCTTTAAAACATAGACATTTTGAAAAGACAGCACAATTGTTTTTAGTTCACACAATTGATCAAACACTTGGAGTGCAACGCACTACAAGTAAATTCTATTTTGAGAGTAGAGTGCTCAAGTTTTCTATTACAATCAATGATTGTACTTAGCTTAAAAATAGTTAAACACAACTCAAATCATAATTTGATTGACACAATCGTTTGCATTAAGAACTCGAAATTTTAGCAATATAAACATAAAGAAAAGAGACAATGGTTTGTTGAGGCAGTTCCCCCATCGTCCTCGCTCGGGATACGTTTGCCCTCAATTCTAAAAATAGAATTGAGAGTTGTATATAGATAGATATAACCTGCTGGTTAATGTTTATACAAGAAGCAAATAGAGATTAAACAATTGAACACAATTTGTTGACGTAGAGCCTATTTCTTCTTGCCCTTTGATTCAAGTCGAATCAAGTCCTTCGAACGCGGTGAGTAAACCTCCGACTACGACACTCCCTTTGAACAACTCGCGGTCTTCAAATCTGGCCCGACTGATTTTAGTCACCCACGTGTCGAACCCGGATCTTCCACTCACAATCCTTCGTTTACCGCTACTAAACCGACAAAACCTCCCACTATTCGATTACCTTCGCTCGGCTGAATCTGTGATGGGCCGATTCGTACAACCCCCCCCCCCCAAATCCGAGATTATTGGAGGATAAAACCCTAACGGTTTTATTCAAGAGAAACCTGCCAATTACTCAACCCAAACCAGATTACACCAATCCTTGGCTTTGGACGTTATCACCTCGAACATGCACAATACACAACAAAAATGATTATGTGTAGTTATTGTGAAATGCTATGAAGAGGATGAAGATGATGAGACCGAATCGACACGTAAATTTCACTTTTCTTGTTTTCTTAGTTCATTTGAAAGGAATCCAGAGAAAACAAAATTTGCAATCGAACCGTAACAAAACCGAGCAAAATCCGGTGAAAAATCCAAAATTGAAATTACACCGAATAAGCTTGAAGTAATCACTTGAGATGGATTCAAATGCAATAAAACTCCAAGAAAGCAAGAAGAATTAGCAAGATGACGGTGGCTAAGCTCAAGAAAAAACACTTCCAATGAAGAAGTTCCTACTCTTTAATGGAGGTTTTAAGCTCTAGTGTGGTCTGGGATGAAAGTGAAGAAGATTATGAGTAGAAGTTGCAAAAAATTCAGAGAGAATGTGAGAGAATTGAGAGTGATCAAGTGTGAAAAGTTGGGAGAATGATTGAGGATACTTGTGAATAGCAATGATTATTTTATATGGAGTTTTGCTTCAGAGTTGCTAGGTTCGAAGTGAGCTTTGGGTGTAGCCTTGGTACTAGCCTTTGAGTTAGTTAGCCTCAAATCACTGAGTTGGAGGTTAACTCAGTTAGTTTGGTAGTTGACTCGGTAACCATCCTAATGCGAACTTGAATCTAATGGCTCACATGCTTGGAAATGAATCAACATGGCGATCTTAATCCAAAGTAATGTATTGAAGCAAATGCCTTGAAGTGTTTAGAAATGTCTTGAAGTGTCTAGAGTTGTCTAGAATGTTCCACACAATGCTAGAACAATGTAGACCCAAAAAATGAGAAGTGAAAGTTGTTGTCCCAGCTGATTTTGCAAATTTTGCCAGGGTTAATCAATTAACCCATTTTCATTAACAAATGGTTAATCGATTAACTAGGCTAAAACTTGCCCAATTTTGCCTGAAAATGATGTCGTGGTCATGGATCTGATTTTTGACCTCTTGCTCTGATGAATAGGCATATAAACCTTTATTTTGTGCTTGTTTCGATGATGTGATATCTTTGGGAGGATGCGATTAATCGGACTCGAAAAACTTGAAATTTCCTGCAACAAACATCACATAGAAAAAGCGAATGCGTATGCAGCAATGTAAATGGACATGTTTATCCAAAGGCAAAAAGAGGAGGTCAATTTTTGGGTTACGACAAGATGCATCTTCGTGTACATTACAGATATGTATCTTCTGAAGGTATTTTTTCTAAAACGCGCTAGAATCCCTTCTCCTTCCTCACTTCTAAAAGAACAACTCTAAACCTTTCTCAAACTCTCTTAACTCACATTCTCTCAAAATCAACCAACCAAGTTCAAAGCTTTTTCCATCAACATCAAGTACATCAAAGAGATCATTCAACACTAAAGTAAACTCACAATTCGCAAGTTTTTAATTTTTGTAAACTTTTTTTGAGTTTTTGAATAAATTTATAGAAATTGATGATTAGGTTATGAAATAGATAGTTTTTGCATGATTGATAGTTATACATAATGAGAAACATGTTTGATGGTTAAAATTAACGACCAATGAATTATTTTTGGGGGCTTGGTGGGATGCATTACCCCCATTGATGTAGATGAAAGTTGCAGGAAATTTTGGAGAGTCTCCATAATTTTTCAATGTTTGGATTCCTTGGAATTGAAGATGCATCTCCGTAATTTATCTGTTTGCTTTTATTTTGATTTTCTTGCTTGTAGGGTTGCTTGTAGTGATTGCGTGACACTTGTCTGGTTTACTTACATGCATTATGGTTGTTAGAGATGACAAACTAAGGCATAAGAGGATTGTACAACATGCATCTGTCTGGAGAGAAAAAAGTCAAGTTTTAGAGGCTCATATTCCCTCTAGCCTGGTTCATGTTGAGGCGTTGATTTCTGGGGCTCATATATCCCACCTTATTTTTCTCGTAGGAGTCGGGTGTCACCTAGTGGTGCACCACTACCTCCATCTTCACGTAGGCAACATGTTTCATCTATTCAAGCACCAGAGGTACCTGAGTCACCGAATGTACCAGAGGCGCCAATGCCACCATAGGCATCAGAGGGACCTTATGCTAATGAGCTAGTGCCACCTCAGGCTGATGAGATTGATGAGCCAATGCCATCTCAGGCTGATGAGCCAGTGCCACCTTAGGTATTTGGAGGAGGCCTTCTAGAGTTGTCATTGTTGCCTCTTTATCCGGACCATACTACCAAATATATTTGAGAAAAAGAGGTAAAGTTAGTTGGACGCATTCTTTTCAAATTACATTTATTATTATATTACAAGTTTTTGACATTGCTTTATTTTTTTGCAAGCCCGTGATCCACTAAAATTTATTAACCATGGGCAGAAGATTACTGGCTTGCATCATCCCAATGACGAGTGGTTTCAGGCTACTTTGTCCCTATCTAGAATGAAGGACTTATGCAAGATTAGTTATGTTACGGTGAACCACGAGATGCTTAATGCATCTAGAGAAAGATGACACACTAGGCCTTCATCATTTCATATACCACTTGGTGAGATGTCTATCACACTCGACGATGGGTCGTGTCTGCTACATTTTCAAATTAGGGGGAAACTTTTAGATCATAGGAGAATTAACAAAGATGAGGCACTCGAGTTGATGGTAGATTATCTTGGAGTTGACCCTGAGGCTACCTTGAAGAAGATGAAAAATCAGAGGGGGTCCTTAGAGCAGAGCAGGCTATAGGTGATGACAAGTAGGTGGGGCTGCATATAGTGTATGTTATGCAAGCATACCTGTTATATTTGGTTGGTACTACCATTTTTATGGACAAGAGTGCCACTTATGTGGATGTTGTCTATCTACGATACTCTATGAGTACAACATGGAGTCGATTGTTTGGTCAACTTATCTAGGTCTGTAGGTGGAAGGTGAAGCAGGTCACATGCAACATCACACTTTTGACTATAATATTTATTGGTCTTTTAGTGTTTATGTGCCATTTTCATTACATTTTTGCAACGCCCTTACTGATGATTTGTGTGTTCCAACACTTTTTAGGCTTGGATACTCCAGCATTTCCCACACATCTTCGGCTAGTCGTGTGCACCAACCTATACTAAGGATATGTCGTGTGCTTATGCATTTGTCCCGCTCAAAGGGAACCAAACGATATAGCCGTTTGAAGTGTATCTTGACTGCTTGGAAGCCGAGGATATGCATTTTAACAATTTTCTCAATCACCATGAGATGCATATCCGGATTAATAAATATTTAAAATAAATTTTTTAGATAAAAATGCATAATATGTAATTTAAAATATTTTAAAAATACATTTTCAAATTAGTTAAAGACAAAGTTCATTCGAAAATATATCTTCTTAATCTAAAAAAACGTTTTATATTTTCCATAATATATTTTTTCACCCCATCTAATATATGGTGGAATAAGAAATTCCAAAAAAAAAAAAAAATTCCAACTTGAATAAAGCATGTAAAATTTGATTATTAGGTCCTTTTCGTTATATGTAATGTTTGATAAGGATAATATTAGTAAGTAGAAACTACAGCTAAAACCCCAAACAAACCCCTCCCCTCCCTCCTCCATATTCCTCTTCACTCTACACAATCCATTCCATTATTCAACTTTAGACACCACTCTTTTGAATGGATTTGCCATTTCTCACTCTTCCACACTTTCTCTCTCCTACAGTTATCAAACCCAAACACTTTCTCCTTCCATTTCCTTCTAGACATTTCTCTCGTCCCATATCTTATCCGTTACTTCCTCTCCGACCTTCCGCCCCAGCCCGACCCAACGCCAAATTCTATCCAAACCCAGCCGACGATGACCCGCCGGAAATATCCGAAGACACCGCTCACGGTTACTCCAAATACCAACAAATCCAAATTCAAGCCGACCGCGCTCGCCTACTCGAAGAAGAGGATTTCAAAAAAAACCAAGCCACTTACCTCGCCGCAATCGCCGACACCGAAGATGCTCCCGACGAAGCTCCCTCTATTGAATCCTCTCAAGACGATTTGTTCGGTGAAATCGACAAAGCTATCGCTCTCAAACGCAAAGAGTTCGTTAAACAAGGTCTTCTCAAACCTAATCCCGCCAAAAAGGAAATTGAAGAAGTCGTTAACGAAGAGCTTCAACCCGATGAAGTCGACGATGTCGAAGAAATCGAGCGACTCAAGGGAATTGCCGTGAATTCCGACAAAACTCCGGGAGATTCCACCGAAGATGGTGATTTAGGTTCTAATTCTGATTCTCCATTTGATTTAGATTTTGATAGTTTAGAGAAGAGTAATAAACCTAGAATAGTTGAACCTAAGTTTACGATGAGTTTGGCTGAGCTTTTAGATGAGAGCAAAGTGGTTCCTATTTTGGTTTATGGAAATTTAGAAGTTGAAATTAGTGGAATTCAACACGATTCTAGGCTTGTTACTTCTGGTAATTTGTTTGTGTGCTGTGTTGGAAGTAAAAACGACGGACACATGTTCTTGAGTGAGGCCGATAAAAGAGGAGCTATTGCTGTTGTGGCTAGTAAAGAGATTGATATGGAAGATACTTTGGGTTGTAAGGCTTTGGTTATTGTGGAAGATACCAATGCTGTTCTTGCTACATTGGCTGCATCGTTTTATAAGTATCCTTCTAAAAACATGGCTCTTATTGGTATAACTGGGACTTATGGTAAAACAACAACTACCTATTTGGTTAAAAGTATGTATGAAGCGATGGGTTTACGCACTGGGATGTTTAACTCTATTTCTTGTTATGTTCATGGGGATAATCAGTTGGATTCGCCTTATGCCATGCTGGATGCTGTTTTGGTTCAGAATTTGATGGCTAAGATGCTTCATAATGGAACTGAATCTGTGGTTTTTGAGGCTTCTTCTTGTGGGTTAGCGCAGGGGAAATATGATGAGATTGATTTTGATGTTGCTGTTTTTACGAATTTGATGGCTGGTGATGATGAGGAAGAGGATAGAGATTCAAATGCTAAGCTATTTTCAAGGATGGTGGATCCTGAGCGGCATAGAAAAGTTGTTAACATAGATGATCCGAATGCGTCTTCGTTCGTTTCATTGGGGAGTCCTGAAGTTCCTGTTGTGACATTTGCTTTGGAGAATAAAAATGCAGATGTTCATCCCTTGAAATTTGAACTCTCCCTGTTTGAGACACAGGTGTTGGTTAATACACCGTCTGGAATACTGGAAATTTCGTCCGGTTTACTAGGAAAGCACAATGTTTACAACATTCTTGCTGCTGTGGCAGTTGGCATTGCTGTTGGGGCACCCTTAGAGGACATTGTTAGAGGGATTGAAGAGGTTGATGCGGTTCCTGGGAGGTGTGAGTTGATTGATGAGGAGCAAGCATTTGGGGTAATAGTGGACTATGCTCGAACTCCTGATGCTTTGTCTAGATTACTTGATTCTGTAAGAGAGCTTCAACCTCGCAGGATTATAACTGGTATGTTTGTGTTTCTCTTAATTGGTGTGGAAGATTTCTATCTTATTTTTTTTGGGACATGTTTAAATTAAATGAGTATTTTCTGCTAAAGCTTGAAACTGCATAATTATTCTCATGCCTGGATTTTGAAGATTTATATTGTTTGGGTGGAATATATTTTCATCATTTTAAATTTCAGTCTTTTTGTCTTTTGAAGTGATCGGTTCTTGTGGCGAGGATGAAAGGGGGAAGAGACCCTTGTTGACAAAGATAGCAACAGATAAAAGTGAAGTGACCATGCTAACATCTGACAATCCCAGGAGTGAAGATCCATGTATGTATTTTGACATTGGAATATAAGCTATAACCTTGTGAAGAGCAGTATCCAAATATATTTGCATGCTTACCCCCAAATTTCATAAAATGTTCAACTAGCAGGGCTTGTGAATCCTAAATATGGTATTTTTTTACATTTTATCCAGTGGATATTTTGGATGATATGCTGGCTGGGGTAGGATGGTCAATGCAAGAGTACCTGAAATATGGGGATAATGATTACTATCCTCCTCTTCCTAATGGTCATAGGCTTTTTCTCCATGACATTAGAAAGGTAGCTGTGCGAGCTGCAGTGGCAATGGGGGAGGAGGGTGACGTTGTTGTAAGTTTTAAATCTTCTTTCTACATTGCATCTTATATAATATGCAATTGAGCTTTAGTTAACATGATGCAGAAGTAGCTTAATTGAAAACATTCTGGTATTGTATCTGGAAAAATTGAACAACAAGATGTGTATCAAAATGGTATTTCAACTAAGGAGATATCCCAAAAGAGGTTGCAGAGGAAACAAACAAACTTTATTCAAAGATGGTTTAGAGACAAATTTAGAAGAAGCTTAAATTTAAACGCGTTGAACAAACATAGAATAACTATTGGTCATGATCCACAAATATAATTCCTATTCACGTGGATGAATTCTCCACCAACATCCAGTTTCTTGCATATCATTTTAGTGATCCTATGAAGTCACAACTTGAATGCTAGGATGAGCTGGTGTCCCTGTACCCCTCAAATCTCGGGATCATAATCTTTGTCTCATTTAAGTAGCCTTGCTTCTTAATACCCTTTCCGTTTCAAAATGACTATCGTTTAAGGTTTGCACACAAATTAAAGAATGTAATAATATTGTCATAAGACATTGTACTTTTACTAAATTAACTTTATAAATGTGTTGGAAGTAGTGTACAAAGTAATAATTAAAAGACACAATTGGAAAAATAGTAATCATTTCTACATTGAAAAGAATGTAATAATATTGTCATAAGACATTGTACTTTTACTAAATTAACTTTATAAATGTGTTGGAAGTAGTGTACAAAGTAATAATTAAAAGACACAATTGGAAAAATAGTAATCATTTCTACATTGAAAAGTGAGAATGAGATTCATTTTGAAACAAATTTTATTTGTTAAAATATAAATCATTTTGAAACGGAGGGAGTAAAGTTTTAGCTAATCCTTTCAAATTTTGATTCAACAGCATCCTCTTAGTGAATGACCAAACTCATTTTGCTTTATGATCTGTGTTTATTGAATCCAAGAAAACTTCAGTTGATTGTCAGTCTACTCTTGGAAATGTCTTCTAAGTTTTAGTGTATCTGTCTGAAAAAATAAAACCCCGATGCCATTACAAATGGAGTTTATTGACTTTCTCTCTTCTTTTAGGCATCTTTTTTAGTTAGGCATTTCAGAACAATGCAGCAAAATATTAATAAGCAAGAATGAATTGTTAATGTGTAGAATGTGATTTGTGAACAAGGGAACACTTTTATATGCATGGTGCAGGTGATTGCTGGTAAAGGCCATGAAACATATCAAATAGAAGGTGAAAAAAGAGATTTCTTTGATGACCGAGACGAGTGCAGGGAGGCATTGCAGTATGTTGACGATCTTCACCAAGCTGGAATAGATACAAGCGAATTTCCATGGCGGTAATGTGAAACGTCTGCTGCTTTTAATATCTTCTCTTAGCTGGCATGACTAGCTAAAACAAAGAAAAATAAGAATTTTCAGGCAATAAAATAAAAAAATTAATATCTTTTTGTTTATAACTTTGTTTTTTGTCTCGCATTTATTTCTGCAGGTTACCAGAGAGCCACTGATGCCAAAGGTTGCTGTGCTAACAATGGATCAGCATCACTTGTTTACCTTAGTACACAAATGAAGCAGGTAAAAAGAAATGGACCCTTCAGTTATTACAAGGGTCTTTCTCTGCAGGAGCTCGGGAGTCAACCCGGGGTTTAAAGTTTGAATGGCTGCGTCTTCCAGAGTCCAGTTTAAAATTCCAACATGGGCATAGTACAGCTTTATCCAACCTCTTGTTTTTGTCTATACGGCCAATTCTAATTTATTTTTCCTTTTTCCCCTGGCCTCCATGCCATTGTAACTGCAATTCTATGTGTTGTAGAGTGACACAATAGTCCTGCTTCCTCCTTGCCAAATATAAGATTATAAACAGAAGTCTTGAATTGAGCTTCTTTTCCAATCAACCAAGCTAAATTATCCAATACCAGGTATAATTGTATGAAAAGTATAGAATATTACGTTGTCGAATTCGATAAATAAACTGTGTTACCACATAGACGGAAAAATTACAATATTGAAGAGATGTTCTCTGAAGATTAGTTAGGTCGACATGATTTATTCTGTGAGATCTTCTAATGAAACCAATGGCAACAAGTTTCTATGTTGTAACATAGACAGGAAAATCACAATATTGAAGAGATGTTCTCTGAAGATTAGTCAGGTCGTCATGAGAACTTCAAGGGAAACTAATGGCAACAAGTCTTCAAGGTTACAGTATGATTTGTTGTACACGTGAACATTTATAATGAAGTGAGTGATAAGGTGGGGCGTAAATTGAGGTGAATATCCAAAATGCCCACTAATTCAAGCTAAAAAAAAGGCAGGTTAGACAAATGAAGTGAATATTCTACCTTTGCAATCCATTTGAAATGAGTGATCTATCGTAGTTTTTCTTCTTTACCTTAAGCCAAAGACTTTTGAAAATGAAATTTGGAAGTAAAGAGAGAAAAAAAATGAAGATGAAGAACTCATAATAAAGATAAAAGAAAAACGAGTGAAGTGCTATTTATACTAGGAGTATGCAACGCAATGGTGGATTTACCCTAATGGTTGGGGTCGATGAATCTTGAGTAACGATAATTAGGAACTGCTTACATGAGAAATTGTGAATCTAATATATTAAAAATAAAAATAGATATTACATAGACTAAAAAGAAAAATATATTTTACTGAATGCAAATTATTTTAATTATATTAAAAGAAAGTTACAATATATATATATATATATATATATATATATATATATATATATATATATATATATATATATATATATATATATATATATATATATATATATATATATATATATATATATATATATATATATATATATATATATATATATATATTCCGGCTAAGTCATACAATGGCCTTTGATAATAGAGTATCTAGTATTTGTCTAGTATCTAGTCGACAAAGGGGGCACTAATGTTGTTTTAACTTCTGTAGCCCTCTTGAAAACAACCTTACTAACTGGCTAGGGGAAACTGCTGATGAATTGACCGAAATTCACCCATATATTTGTTGCATTATAGAGGCAGCAATGTGATAAGAGAGGCAACATTTGTAGATTTTGAAGCCAAATCCCTCAGATATTTGAAGAGTTATATCACATTGAAGTCCTCTTAGTCATGTGTTTTGGGCTTAGGCTCCTCTGCACGAACATCATAGGTCTCTCATGTGAGAGATTGGAAAGATTAAATGTTTTTCCTATATGTTTAAACATTTAACGGCAGTTTTAAATCGATGCAAAATTTTAATTTTTTTAATTTTATATTTTTCTTGGATTTTAAACTTTTAACGACGGTTTTAAATTATCATAAAGTAATTATTGAAAATTTGTGACAGTTTTAAACTGCCACTAAATGGTAAAAACTGAAGAAAAAAAAGTGCAAAAATGTGTTGAATTAAAAATGAAATAGTAAAAGTTGTATCGAACAAAAGTTTCGTTTTTGCAAAAATTGTTTTAATTCATACAAAGAATATATATTTTTAATTATTATTAAAAAAACAACATAGAATAAATAAAGGGTGCGTGTAGTTTTGACGCTAGCTCATATGAGGCGCTCGCCAATTTTAAAAAATAATAGGTTTGAACTTTAAAAATTAGAGTCCATAGTTTTTAAAGTGTTTTTAGACCGATTATATAAAGTCTGTTATCCATTAGGGTTAATTCATACGGACCTTGGGTAGTCCGTTAGACCCGCATAATTATGAATTTTAAAAAATTATATTAATACTTATGTTGTCTCACTTTAAAACAACACACTTATTTTTTCTCCTTACTAAATTTTATCGCTATTCTATTCAATTTTTCTTTTTTAAATATTATACATTAATATAATTAAATTAATATTTAATTATTTTGTGTTTTACTTCACAATTTATTCATATTCTATTAGTTTCTCTTATTTTAAATATTGTATTATTATTATATATTGTTCTGGACTGGGCCTGGACCTGCCCCTCAGTCGGGCAGGTCCAACCCAACACTACGTTGGGGAGGTCCAATAAGGCCCAATCCTCCCATGTCGGGCACGAGCCTCAACAAGGCATACACTTCGAACAGACGACTCCCTTGACGAGGAGCCTCACACGTTTCCCCCACGTTCTCCACGTGCTCCCCCACGCAGGGACACGTCATCAGACAACTACCCACCTCCGAAAGAGTTGGTCAACCCACCTTCCGAAAATCACGGGGCAGTTGATCTAGGGCGAAGACCACGTGCTGGTCTTCACTACGCCACGTAAGCCTGACAGTTACTTAGGTTGGGCCTGACAGTCTGACCCAATGCAAGGTAATCGTTGGCTTTGCGCTGGAGTCTCTCTATAAATACTCTCTTTCACTAGAGGGTCAGATATTATGTTCTCTACACCTACTTCTCTATATGTCTTTACTCTCTCACTCTGATCATTTACTCACTTAAGCATCGGAGTGCCTTGCAGGTACACCCCCTCCTTCTCCCTACCTCCGGTGAAAGCTACAATACAACGACGCGTGGCAGACCATTGATCCTTTCTGATAAGGCGGGATCATATACAATTTAGACATATATTGTGTTTAAAATATAGGCAAAACTATTGTTTTAGTTCTTTAAGTTATTTTAAAATATCAAATTAGTCCCTTAAGTTTTTTTTGTTACGCTTTGATCCCTTTTTAAAAATCTCCGTTACAATAAATTGTAAACTCATATACCATTTGAACTGGTTATTCGCGCTGATCACAAATATGCAATCAAATTTATCAAACAAGCTACAGTTCATAAGAATCAGGTAAAAATGGATGAAATACATAATGAAAAATCAACGATCTGACCAAAATACACAGTCAAACGCAAAACTAATTACATGTTCGTGATCAGCGTAAAAAACAAGTTCAAATGGTATATGAGTTTGTAATTTATTGTAACGAAGATTTTAAAAAATGAGCAAAGCGTTAAAAAAAAACTTAAGGAACTAAATTGATATTTTAAAATAACTTAAAAGACCTAGATAGTAGTTTTGCCTAAAATATATTATAGTATGTATAAAAAATAATATAATACTTAAAAATTTATTATGCTTAAAATAATATAATTATTTTATTATATTTATAATAAATATTATGTGACTTTTTTTTTAATTTTTGTATAAAAAATATTTTAAAAAATATTTATAATTATTTTAAAATATTTTAATTTTTGTATAATAATTATATTTAATCCAATATTATTATTAATAATTATACAAATTAAATAATAATAATAATAATAATAAATAATAATAATAATATCCACCAATAGTTTAAATTAATAATATTAATATAATACTACTATTACTAATAATTTTAAATAGTCATTCTCACCACACCACCAAGTTTTACATAATTAGTCGCACACCCCTCACATTTAAGGTCTTTAATTTCAAAGTCACTACCCCTTATGACAGGTTATCCCAACATAACAAAACATATATTATAATCACATAGCATCATATAATTTTAATTACAAAAATAATTAAAATTAAATGAGCGTTACACACACACACACTCTCTCTCTCTCATTTAATTTTTGTAGGCTATTGTGTGTTTAGGTTTTTCTTTCTTAGTGTAGTTTATCATTAATTTCTGTTGGTAGCGATTTACGGAAGTGTTAGTTTTGTTAGAATCAGGACCTAATTGAGTTTAAGTGGTGAATAAAATTTGCGGACTAAGAGTGTTAGAATCCTACCATAATTGAATTTTTGTAAAGGACACATATAGTGTAATTTACAATTTTATCAATTTGATATAACTGGACACTTTTTGTGTATTCTTTTTGAATAATATGTGGTATTTGTGAATTGTGTATTTGTAATTGTGATTGATTTTCAATACAAGCATAAGCTCTCTATTTTCGCTTTAAGCGCACGGTTGAAAAACTCTGATATTATTTTTTAAAAATCGGTCAATTTTTAAAAAGGATCTATTCACCCCTTCTAGTTCGTTTCTCTACTCCATATTCCTAACCAACACACTCCTGTACCTTTTTGACAAGTATAGGATTATAATTATAATGAGAAAATTTATACGAATTACATAGTTCAAACAAAATGAGACAAATTTGTCTAAAAGAGATTAATTTAAGGAAACTACTCACACATTCTTTAAGAAATCGTGGGAAAAAAAATGAAGAAAATATGAAATAACATTGAAAATAAAATGGATGAAATCCTTGATGAAGAATCTTCAACTCCTAGCTCCAAGCTCTTCAAATTAGTTTCCAAAGTGATGAAATTGTGAATCCTATTTTGAAATCAAAATTGTGGAAAAAAATTGAAACTGTGAAATCTTTGTCTTGATTTTCAACCCAACTTTTTTACCCACGTGCATTATTTTGACCATACCTCTTGAGGTGAAACCAGCAATAAAGAAAGTTATCATCTAGGGCTATTACTTTCATGAAAAAATCAAAGTTTAATTTAAAATGTAAAATGATAGAAAACATCAAGTACAACTACGCCATTGTTGTAATGCTGAATTGTAACATTTGGCTTA